ACAGGAACCAGCCTGGAAGGGGTTTAGACCAGAGTCACTTGGAAAGGACACTGTCCAACCTGTTGAGCTGCCTGCAGGCTGTGCAGTGTGCTCCAGGTCCCAGCTTTGTGAGCTGTCTGTCACCCATACTGGAGTGGGCTTTGAAGATACAGCGGTCTCTGAGTCATTTCTGCTCTTGGAAGTGACGCCTAACCTACAACTAACCCTCATTAAACTCACTGGTTCACCAATTGACTTTGGTGATATCTGTACTTTGGTCTGTAGTGAGTATGTGAGTTGGATTCCCTCAAGGAAAAATCTTGTCACACCACAGTTTACATAATGTGTTCCAGGCCAGCTTGTACTACCCAGCAAGGCCCTGTGCCAGAGAAAAATAAATAAAAAGAAGTTAAGGTGTATATATACCAAAGTTGGTCTTCCCTTCTCCCCCAACCTTAGGCCCTGCATTTGGTCTCCTCTGGACTGTCTCCACATTCTCCAGGGTGCACTCAAGATTGTGCACATTATACAACTTGCAACCGTCAGCTGTTAGGAAGTCTTCAGCAGCCCCCAGGCTCCAGGAACGGTCAGCAACACAAAAAGCCTTTGCCTTGGTGGGCAGCTGCTTCCTTGTCAGTTGTCCAGCCCATGCTGGAGCACTCTGCCCCAATACACTGTGGCTTTCCGGCCTTCTTCTTAGCCTCTGCTAGTCCGTATGCCTGAAGTGTCTTGGTACTACCCACCCACCTACCATCTCTCTTTGCTGTGTGGCAAATGGCCGTCCTCTAAAGCTCAGCTAGAACGTCACTCCCTCTCTTACTGTCTTGATCTCCAGTATGTTTTCTACTTCTTTGGTCCCCATAGCATCTAGTGCCCGGGTACTTCTTACTAGGATTGACTACCTTTTCCTATGTGGCTGCCTCCCTTCCATTAGATGGAGCCGGAACAGAAGCAGTTCTTCCCATCTTTGTTTCCAGGGACAGAAGCAAACATCAAATGTCTGTAGAGCTGACACGCATGCGTGCATGAGGGCTTGCTACCGGATCAAGCCTGCTGCTCACCTCACAGGGAGGGGCCCATTCAGTTGAGAGAGAGAGAACAAGAAAGGCAACTGTTTCAAGCTGACTTAATGGGAAGATAATGACTCCTGTCCCAAGCCCATCTTGCAGGAAGGCTGGTTTAGGAATGGTTTGGATGGGCAGAGGGTGTTTCCACACTGGAGGGCTGTCTTATAGCAGCCCAGGGATGCATACTCGATCTTAACCACCTAATTGTAAAGTGCTTTTCAATTCTGCAAGAACAAAGATTATATCCTTGGGTTTTTGTAGCACGAATCTTAGAAGGTCTTATTAATAAAAACAAACCTGGAGCCAGGTATTGGGGTGAATACTGGAAGATCAGAGAAGCAGAACAAGCCACAGCTTCCTCACCTTGCCAATTCCCCAGCTGATCTTGTTTCCTCAGATTGGAAGCTTCTGAGTTCTCATCCAAATGGATCTCAGCTGAACTGCTACTCAAAAGCCTAGAAGCTTAACCAGCCAAATGCTTCTAGTTTCTGGTCTTCACGCCTTAAATACCTTTCTGCTTTCTGCCCTCACTTCCTGGGATTAAAGGCTCACTTCTTGGCATTAAAGGCGTGAGTCACCATGCCTGTCTATTTCCAGTGTGGCCTTGAATTCACAGAGATCCATGCCTCCAGAAGGCTAGGATTAAAGGTGTGAGTGCCACCATTTTCTAGCCTCTGTATCTAGTGGCTCTTCTGTTTTCTGACCCCAGATAAGTTTATTAGGGTGCACAATATTTTGGGGAACACAATACCACCACAGGTTTTTCACCTTAAAGCAAAAACCATAAGGTTTCATTGTGTAGACCAGGTGGGCCTGCAAATCACAATCCTGCTTCAGAGTGCTGTAATTACAGGCATGTGCCACCACACCAACCTCCCCATCACTGATTAGTGCACTGCTATCCAAGTCCTGACACAACCTGAAGACTGGAGGAGTATCTGTCCCATGTCCCTTTTGCTGGTTGTCAAACTTGTACTAATAAAAGAAAAAATATACTTTTCTTGATTACTTCTCTCCAGCTCCCACCAAGCCCCGGCAGTCCCGCAGCCCACTTATAAAATAAACACACAGACTCTTATATTATTTAAACTGCTTGGCCTAATGGCTCAGGCTTCTAGCTATCTAGTTCTTACATCTTAAATTAACCCACTTCTATAAATCTATACCTTGCCACATGGCTCGTGGCTTACCAGTATCTTACATGTTGGCACTCATGGTGGTGGCTGGCAGCATCTCCTGACTCAGCCTTCCTGTCCCCAGAATTCTCTTCTCTGCTTGTCCTGCCTATATTGTCTGGCTACTGGCCAATCAGCATTTTATTTATACAGAGCGATATGCACAGCACTGCAGTGTCCAATGTGTGCCCAAACCATATTCTCCCTTTGTTTGCCAACTGATTGTAATGTGGCTATGAATCATGTGTGTGTGTGTGTGTGTGTGTGTGTGTGTGTGTGTGTGTGTGTGTGTGTTGACCTTGCACACACTAGGCAAGTGTACTACCAATGAATTTCAGTTTACTGTATGTCTAGTGCACAAGTGTATTTGGAGTTTTCTAGAAGTAGAATGTTAGATTATAGGGCATGGAAATATTTAACCTTATGAATACTGTCTGTTTCTCAGAGGGGCTCTAAATGCCAGATAGATTTTTCCCCCTCAAATATCACTGTGTTCTGTTAATCCCAATAGCGAGAATAAGACCACCACCACAATTTGAGCCAAATCTGAAGCAAACTTGATTTTTATTGGGGTGTACCCAAGAGCTGGCTAGCAACTGCCTCCTAAGTCAGGTTAGAGAGAGCAGCCCCGAATCCATCTCTTGGGCCCCTTTTAAGGAGTAACATCACAAGTAGTTTTACAGAAGGGAGACAATGGGGCCCTAAGTACATACAAAAAAATCTTTAAAAGAACATCATGTGGTCACCCATGTGATTAGGGAGGGTCAAGGAGGGTAAGGGTATTCTCAAAAACAAATCAACATGGGTCAGGTTCCAGGAACCAGAGAGCAACTCAACTCTCATAGTAAATAGAAACTTTTTTAAAATACAGTATAATGACTCCTGCCTTCAAAATGGAGTCAGGTAGGTTCCTTGCTAAAAAAAAGTAATTCTGTATAATCACTCCTCACCAGTTTCTCACTTCATGGCAGGATTTTTCCTCAGCCTCCATTGCACACCTTGGCATCTCTAATTGTGCAAACCTGCTCAGGCACAGGACACCAGCTCACTGTCCAGTTAGGCGCTGCTGCTGCTGCTGCTGCCACCTCAGACTTCTTAGTCTAAAGCCTCCACCCCCTGGGTTTTCCCTAATGCATCTTACCCTGGTCACACCAGCTCACAAAGCTTTCACTGAAACACCCATTTCCACACCAGCCAGCACTCACCTTCAATGACATCCAGGAGATGTTACCTTGGTGGACGAATGGCCATCCTAACTAGGGCAGATAATTGGACCGAGGGAGACCCACACTCCTGACTCTGCCACCGTTGTCAATACTGCCTTTGGAACCACTCCCTTGACGTCCAGGGCATACGTTTTGTAAATTCTGACATGATTATGCCCACCTCCGATTAGATTATTGACCAGCAATCCTCACCTCCTTAACACCCAGCCCTGTAGCAGAGTGCTTGCAGATGCCTCTCCTCCAGCCCTAATTCCATCCCCTAGGACTCCACAGAAGTTTGCTGCTCCCCAGCCTTCCTCCTTCCCTTCAGCCCTCCTCTCTAGTCCATCCCCATTCCTTTGTGTCAGCCATGTGTGTAGAGGCCTGAAGTTGATGTCCGGGATCTTCCTCAATTGTGCTTCCTCCTCACTGTGAGGCCAGGTCTCTCAACCAAACTCAGAGCTCACTGCTATGGCTAGTCTTGCTAGCCAGCTCATACCAAAGATCCGGTCTCCGCCTTCTGAGGGTGGATTTGCAGGCAAGATGGTATGCTTGCCTGGCATTTTCAGGGCACCCTGAATCCGAATTCCAGGCCTCTTGCTTTTGTGTAGGCACCTGAATCACTCTGCCATCTCCTTGGCCCTTTAGCCAATCTGTGCAAAACCATTTTTTTTTTAATTTATCCAAATTAAAGATAAATAACATCCGAGTGTGACACAAACGCTTTCTAAGATGCCTGCTTAGCGAGTGCAGTACTGCCGTGGCCAGCACAGCTCCAGGGGCAGACCTGACTGGGGTGGTAAGGGAATGAAGAAAAGACGAGCACCAGAGACACCAGGGAAGACCGGGACCAGATGGACTGGACTCTCCATCCATGGAGAAATCACATCACCTTGGATGCTCAGAGTGTTAATTACACCGAGTTGAACAAGGAGGCGAGGTTATTGTATACCAGTAAACAAGGAGGCAGCGTTTATGGTATACAGCTGGATCGAGGCCACAGGTTAGCTAATCTTGGTAGGAGTGGTCTCTGCAGGAGAGCAGGCTGTAAACATCCTGGGGTAGAAAGCTATGGTGGACAATGTTTGCACACAATATCAATATCTGCACATGAAACAGAGGAAGGCTTTGTTCAAAATTCCCCTGAGCCTCACCCCCCAAGGGGAATCTCAGGGTGGGGGTGGGTGGGGTGCCATTTTCCTTGGGTCTAAGGCTAAGATTATTGACATGGCCATCAACAGCACACATTCAGTCAAGATGTCATTCACTCGGGGCTTCCTGGGCTGCCCACAAATACAATGAAGGCAGAAGAATCTAAAGAGAAACTTTCCAAACACAAGGACTAGAAACAAGTGACACTCATGTCTTAAAATACTTAATTAAGTGACCCGTGGTTGAGTTCAGCTCTGTTACCCTGCCTCTGAAGTATGTTACTGTATTTTCATCAGGGGAAACTGGAAAGCCATTCACTTACATGACTTTTCCTTTTAACTTCTCTTTTGATCAAGCTGCTGCCTTCTACCCTTCTCCCAAGAGTAAACATACAAGATCTATGGCAAAAAAAAAAAAAAAAAAAAACAACCAAAAAACTCAGTTTTATTTCTATGAAATCTTTTGAGATAATTTGTAAGTATGAAAGGGTTTTACAATCACATGATCATTTATTTAATAAAGTTCCTCTTCCTGGGATCTAGAAATTCAAGAGGCACTTGCTGTATCCAGGTAGGTAAGATGCTGGGCAGCTGCTTTCTTTGATGGACACAGTTCATTACAACTTGAATTAGTCAGATTCCTCCTCAAACTCCACTAAAGGTGCATGTCTGTTGGCCTGGGCCCCTTCTCTGAAGAACACCTTTTTTATCCTGCCGTCCTTTGGAGCTTTTATGGTATGCTGTAGGGATATAAACAACAACGGTAGTCATGCTATTGAGGGCCATGCCCACACCAAGCCATGAGAGGCAGACAAAAATGAAAAAAACAGCTAATACTTTCAATGCTTTATGGTTTCTCAGTTTGTTTGTTTACACACATCACCATCCGCAGAGAAAATGGAGACACTTTTACAGCTGAGAAGAGTCAGTACTGAGCAGTCACACTATCAAGGACGAGACTGGGAAGCTCCTGTCTAATGAGCAATCTCAACCAGGTTTTACAGCACACTTCCATGTGGGAAGCTTATGTGAAGGACTAGGACTTGGGGTGCCACTGAGTGCCCACCTATCTGCACGGAGCCCTAGGATCAACCCCAGCATTGCAATGTGGCCTTCCTGCTGGAGGGCCCAGTTCAACTCTGGAGGCAGGTCTACAGAGCTTCCAAAGTGAATTTAGTACTTGGGAGAGCCAGGAGCTACTGGCCTACAGTCTAACACTTGTCATCCTTAATTCAGCTTTAGGAAATAGCCACAGTGAGTGTTGGGCTGCGATACTGCTGATGATAATTTCAGTATGTTCAGAATGGCAGGTATGGCTTCACAAGATAAAATGAATTTACTAGAAGGATGGTTGCTTTAGCTTTTGCAATTAATACTTAGAGACAGTTCATGACTCTTAGTATTTAAAATGTTATTAACCCATCAAATAACGCAAAGCACAGCTAGGCTGGGTTGCTCCCAAGGCTTACTGGGCAACTGAACTTGGGATTTCACATACCTCCATCTTCATGGCGATCATAACCATCAGAGAGTCTCCAGCTTTTACTCTGTCTCCAGCTTTCACAAACACCTAGAGATTGAAGGATGCGTTGAAACACAGGTCCTTCTTGTTCACAGAGCTGGTATGTGAACAAATGGAACAGGAGCACAGGCTTACATGTCGGGGTTATTTGCCAAGGACAGATGTACCAGGGAAACTGGAGTCTGCCAGGTCCACCCAGCACTGCTAGCACTGTTGAGTGTATGTGCTTAGTCTCTTTAGGTTGTGACCTAGCTTTGCTTGACTCAGATGAGTGGATTTTTACATAACTTTGAACTGTTTCGTTTTTTCATGAATATTATCAGGACAGACCTGACGTCTGATACAGGAAAATGTATACATATAAATGATACAGGGAAGGATGGATACCTGTAAATGTCTCATACAGGGTGAAGGATGAGGCTCTTGACTAGTTTTCTAGTTTGGGAGTTGCTTATGATGGCCTTTCAAAATGCTGAGTCTGTGTTACAAGTGTGTAACTAGTCCTCACGTGAGAACAGGATGTCCGTCCCTCTCTCCAGTTCTACCAGACTAATGAGCTGATGAAGACTAAGTGTCCTCTTAGTTAATACAGCTACTGACCAGTCTATAAAGACACCAGGGAGTTAGCTCTCACAGTCATAAGCAACAAGCATCTCTGGATGCTCCAAAGATCACCCAGTCCTTGGTGACACTTCTTCAGTACAGTCTCACAAAGCCACTGTGTGTCCATCTTCAGATGTAAGATGACTATTCTCTGCAGGCATCCCTCACTGTGGAAGGCTGGTGTGAATAGAGACTGACCAAGCTAAGGGCAGATCTAACTCTGTCAGCTCACACACTGGAGAACAGTGGGAGACTAAATAATTCTTTTTCTCTCTCTTTTTTTTTTTTTTTGTTTGTTCTAAGAATATACAGCTGAGTTTTACTTTTTGCAGTGCTGGTGAATGAACCCAGGACTTTACCATATGTGAAGAAGGTTTTCTGTCACAGCCACATCTCCAGCCACAATGGAATTGGTATGACTTAATGTATTGGGGAGACCAGATATCTACCCCAAAGAAATTAGATCGTCTTGTGCTACTATGTGAATGTCTATATCCTGCTGAAATTCATGTTGAAATATTAAACCCAAGGTTTGGAGCTAGGGTTTCTCCAAGGTGATTAATTAGGTCACCAGGGATCTGTACTGTCACTGAGAAAGGCCAAGAGAGGTCCTGTGCCCTTGGACATGTGGGGACACTGGGAGGAGAAGACGGTCTATCCACTGTGATACCAAGAAGCAAACTCACTAGTCACATGATCCAAGATTTTTCCCAACCTCCAGAACCATGAAGAATAAACTTACGTAGTTTTGTGTGTATGGAAGTGAGTGCCAAGTGGCAGCCAAGCGAGCGCCCTGGCTACATCCTTAGACTCTATCAGATCACGTGGTTTGCTGGGTGTGGAAGTGTGTGCTTGTCATTTCCTCACTCGGAGGAAGGGCAAGACAAGCGTTCCAAGTCTGAGGCCAGCCTGGCCACCCACTGAAACCCTGTCTCAAAGCCACAAAACAACTTCCTCTCCAACCTACACCCCACCCTGAGCCACGTGGGTCCCCAACCAGCCTTCCAAACTCATTTTAACACATAGGCAATGATGTCATTATTTCATGACAAAATTGTATGTTGTTAAATTTCACATTAAAACACTGACTTTTTAATGTTTGGTGAACACTCCATTTTCATTCTTAAAAATACATTCTGAGTTGGGGTTTGTGGCACCTGAGAAGCTGAGAGAGGAGGATCACTTTGGCCCAGGATTCAAGAGCAGCCTGGGAAACATGACACTATAAAGAGGAAAAAATGCACTGATCTGTCCTTTATCCACCCCTCCTATTCCTTCTCTCTTTCTTTTTTCTGGCACTGGGGACTGAAGCCAAGTCCTTGGGAATGCCAAGCACATGCTCCACCACTGAGCTACGCTCCTAGATGGTGTTAGTTGTACTTCTTTCTTTTCTTGTGACAGAGTCTTGCTGTGTTTGTTGCCCAGGCTGGCCTCAATTTCAGGTGACCCTCAGGCCCCAATCTGCCACGTTGCTGACATCACAGGCTCACGGAACCAGGTAGGACACACTGTACCATGAAGTAAACTCTTCCCTTCAGACACACTGTACCATGAAGTAAACTCTTCCCTTCAAAATAGTGGCCTCAGAGCTGCAGAGGTGGATCAGTGGTTAGAGCACTGGCTGCTCTTCCAGAGGACCCACATGGCAGCTCACAACTGTCTCTAACTCCAGTTCCAGGGGCTCTGATACCTTCTTCTGGCCTCTGTGGGCACTGCACACATGTGTAGCAGACATGCAAACAGGCAAAACACCTCCACACATACATAAAATTAAAATTATAAAACAAATAACCTTCCCCAGCAGTCTTGGGGTGGAGCTCAGGTGTAGGGTTTTCAACATGTATGAGGCTCTGGATTTGAACTCAGGCTCATGCATGTAGCACACACATACACATCTCCAAACAAAAACTCACTAATCTTTATCAAAAATTGGTAGTTATGTACATTGAAAGTTGAACCATTATATTTCATTCTTCTTATTTTCTTGAAGTGACTGCTTTCCAATGAACAAAATTTAGGAGAGGAAAGGATATACAAAGAAAGAGTACACCAAGCTCCAAAAGGACATTTATGAACCATTTCGGGCATCATTTCACAGATGCCCCCTAATTACCTTTTCAATGGTTCCAGTCATAGGAGCGATGGTACCGCCCTGAGTTCCTTCTGAGCTCGCTGAGGCCAAGTACTTGGGTACTGGAATGCCAATTTCAATACTTCCTTCCTATAGAAAACAGTGAACATAGAATCAGCATCTCATCTCTTTATGTTCAGTAGGACACCCAAGGGATTGATTCATGCTATTAGTGACTATTAGTCGCCACGGCCACCTGGGTTCTAGTGTGGTTTAGTGATCTTAAGAGGCTATGAAACCTCGATTAGTCTCATCTCCCATGACACAGAGGTCATGGTATAGATGCCTGGTCAGGGATTAAGAATTAAAGGACAGGACTGTAGGGGACAGGATGGTCGCTTTCTGGAAGTGATTTTCAGTGGCATCTTTACTGTGGAGAACATAATCTACAGTAAGAACTTTACACTTACATACACACTGTGCCATCACTTGTCTCGATTCTATAAAGTAAGTCTGCTAACTAGTCAAGGTTATAGACGGCAGAACCCGAGCCTGGAAAGTTTAACTGTACAAGGTCACACCGCTGCCGGGTGGCAGGGCCAGGGCTTGATCCAGGACAGCTTTACCCTCCAGAGCTGTTTGCCCCTCCATGGCCTGCCTCTCAGCCTGGCGCTGTCCTGGCAATGTTGGCTGCAGAAGGGGGCTGCTGGGAGAGCTGCGCTGTCTTTGACTTTAGGCACAGTGCAGTCACTAAAGCCATTTCCCCATAAACACCGTGGTCTTGATATGCCCCATCTCTCCAATGGACAGTTCTCTCCACTGCCCAGAAGCTCAGGGCTCACTGGTCATCAGGCTCTGAACCAAGGCCAAGCCAAGCTCGCCCTGACTCTCCTCTGAGCGCCAAGTCACTGCCACTAACCCCATCCACTTTCCTATTGCCACAAGCATCTGGTCCAGACTGCTCTCCCATGGTCACCTCGTCCCCAACCCCAGGATTCCAAGTGCCACAGGGATGGGTCCGAGCACAGTATCGGGGAATGGCCACGCCGAGAGCAGAGCCTCTCACAAGGAGAGGGCAAGCTTCATTTCTGAATTCTAAGAAGAAAACTGTCATGTGTAACAATGAGAATCTGCGGGAACAAAATAGATGAATAGAACTAGAGAGGTAGGACTGTGGCAAAGAAATGTGGAGAGGGAAACTGGGCAAACATGATCTCAGTGGCTGAAGGAAGTGGGCCTTTCAGTGAAATGCTTCTGGTTAATCAATTCCATCCCAAACCCCAAGAGGGCTATCATCAAACCCAGACATGGTAGCCTACACCCAATCCTAGAACTCGGGAAGCTACGGCAGGAGGATTTCCATGAGTCCTAGCCCAGCTTGAGCTGCAGACTGAAACCTCATCAAAACAAGACAAGAGTGAGACATCACCATGGAAAACAGGTAGATGGTGTTGTCCAGGATGACGAACTTGGATTTACTGGCTACTCCGTCAACAGAAGACTTCAGGTAGGTACAGCCTCCCTCACTGCAAAGGTCACCAAGGACTCGGAAGGTCTGATTTTCAATCTGGGGGGAAAAAGGTTTTAAAATGGATGACTATGTAGAGTTAATAAAGTCAAAATGTCTTCATCATTAGCAGTTTCAAAGGTATATTTTTCAAGGAACCATGCAGAACATGCCCCCAGATTCCTAACCAGAACAATTTAGATACAGTATGATAATTAAAAAAAAAAAAAACTATGTTATTCATATCAGCATAATGCCACAGATGAAAGTTCATTTAAAAATGGAAAGAATAGCATAAACATGTCAAATAAAAGTTCACATCGAAGGGCTAGAGAGATGGCTCAGCCGTGGAGAGCGTGCTGCCTTTACAGGACCTGAGTTCGGTTCCCTGCACCATGTCAAGCACCTCACAACTGCCTGTAACTCCGGCTCTGGGGATCCGATGCCCTTTTCTGGTCTCTTCAGGGAACTTCACCCAATTGAACACACTCCACCCTCTACATACATATAATTCAAAATACAACTAAATTAACAGAAACCAGACAAAATGATTCAATTCCCCTGGGTATATTACATGCTGGTACTCATTCCTGAGTTCTTAAGTTAAATGCAGTTTTCCTGTGCCAAGGTCAGCAATGAAACAGAATGAAACTAGACCCACACAGAGGGCACTTCCTTTATCTCAGCAGCACATAGGGCTGACTCCGTGGGCTCTGGTTGTGATTTGAAAGGACAGACGAGCTGGGGACTGGTCACAGTTGTCTTGCTCTCAGGGGCTATGTCAGAAGACAACTTATGTCTCAAGGGAGCTGGTAAAAGGACACATTTTCCTGTTTTAAAGACCATTTTCTTGAATATACATGCAAGAGAAAATTTCCCTCACACAGAAAATCCATTTAATCTATGTTTTTCTTTCCAATTCTCATCATATTAGTACAGAATCTGTATCTATTCTTCACAGATATGCTGCTAGGGCTAAAGTGAAGTAGGTTACATGGTGGAATCTGTATTTGTTCTCATCTCCCTTAAGTTAAACATGACACTGACTCCACCCTCCAAGCTACTAAAACAGCTATGTGAATATCTGTGAAATCTCAGGGTATAAAAGTTTTGTCTAAAAATTCACAAAAACACATTTATTCCCATGATCCAAGCAGGGAAATTGTCAATTTACTAGTCATCAATGAACAAGAAAGGATCCCCAAACCAGAGGCCGATATGAAGGAAACATAGTGCACGTATCCAAAGTGGGTGACTTCCCATGGCTGATCTGAAGCGCAGACAGAGGGAACTGCTGGGCCTCAAAGTGCTGGGAATTCTACCACATGTAACTGGTAAATCCATTCAGAATTGGAAATCCTTCAGTTCATATTAATGTGATATATTTACTGAACTTGTAGCTAAATTCCTACATTTTAACATCCTCTTAAGGAGCTAGGCAAGATGGCCCAGTGAATGGCGTCTACTACCACGCCTGAAGGCCTGAGTTTCATGTTTGATTCCTAGGACTCCGGGGAAACAGAGAACTGACTCCTGTGAATTGTTCTCTGACTTCCACACAGGCTCGAGACTCATGAGTAAGACATCCACAAATGAATAAATAACAATAAGAACCTTCTTAGCATTTCATTTTGCCAACAGACTTCTTTTAATTAAAGGCTAGCCTAAGCTTTACCCTGGAGTGACAATGACTTAGATTCCTTGAGTTTTCCAACAGCCATTTAGAGAACCTGCAAAATTAAACTGTTTTCATAATAGGACCAAGATGCTATCTATCTTTTAAAACATTTCCCCCCATAAGTATGGAGGAAAATTCTGTAGAAGCCACTGGACCTGTGAGAATATAACACTTATGATGGCTAATGTAATGGGTACTTGTGTGATACTAGATTTTATATTTTTTTCTAGTTTTCCTACAACTCAACAGCAACAACAAAATAACTGGATTAAAATACAGATAGGCAAAGGTTGCAGAGAGAAATTTCTCCCAAGAAGACATACCAATGACCAGCAAGTACACACACACACACACACACACACACACACACACACACACACACACACACACACAAGCAGCAGCCACCATCCTT